GCTGCCTGTTATCCTCCATATCAGGAGGTAGAAGGCACGCAGGTGAATTCTGCGCGCGGTCACACTGCATGCAGTCATCCGCCTTTGGACCCCGACACAGTGCGCAGGTGGAGTGACAAGGAAGGCAGTCCTGATGACAGCAGAATGAAAATGAACAGGCATGAGGACGAATGCACTCAGTTTTGCAAAGCGTTGTTTTATTCTTCAGAAAACAGGGCAGACAGTATCAGTATCCGTATCAGTTTATTGAGGGAAAGCTAGGCGAATGCCTTTGAACTCCCAGTGATCACATTAGTAGAAAACGCTTCAGAAACGACAGGACTGACATTACCATTTTTTCGAGACTGTAGAAAGTTCGAGGGGGACAGAGGCGTTTCAATTCACAGTTGCCCGAGGAGGGATTTTTGGCAAATCCGTCTGCACAGGTAATGCAGGTGTTTGGCCCTGTAGATTAAGTAGAAAAAGAACCCTGTTAGAAAACAAAAACGGTCAAAATAATGTTTAGGCAAGTGAGGACGCCAGAAGAGCTCTTACCGGAACACGTGGCGCAGAGTGGGGGACATTTCAGACATACTTGTTCGTCCCCTACGCGATGAAGGTAGGTTCCCTCAGGGCAGAAGGCAACACATTTGTAGGTCGCTTTAAAAGCTTCGACAGGCAATAGCGGATTGGTGGCTAGTTCACCATGAACGAGGTGAGCACCAGAAGCACACTCAAGACACCTGGAGGTGTGTCCAATGCAAGTTTGACAGAGTGGACTACAGACATCGCTGCACTCTTTGTTAACAAAGCTGCATTTTGGGAGAAAAGGAAAGGAGTATAGACTGTGAGAAACGGAAGAGCAGAGACCGCTGCTTGAGGAATCAAGACTCTACTGAGAATCGGTGGATAATTATGCTTTTATATAACCCTATGGATGAGAAAACACACAGGTCTGCACGACACTTACCCAGTTCTACAGTGCGATTTGCAAAGGCCAGTGGAGATGTCGAGCTGTAGGGGCGGCTCACAAGCGGTGCAACGCGGAAGGACGTAGCCATTGGAAACTTTTGCGGAAGGCAAGCACTCCTTACAGCCTGGGGGACATGGAGAGCAATGCCACACATCACTCGCATAGTCCAGGTTC